ATCCACCATGAGTGACCTACCAATAACCCTGCTAGTATCTGAAATATCAGTGCTATAGCCTCTAACATTGTAGTGACATGCAAGTTACCATAGTACTACAGCTGACAGATGGGTGGTGGAAGTGTTATGAATAGACAGACAGAAAAGCAAAGAATCTAAGACTGTCCAAATCATTAACTTAGTAGATGTGTTTGTCCTTGTATCCCACACATCAGGGAGTCCTGCTCAGCTACTGTGAGCATAGAATTCAATATCAATTCTGTAATTATAAGAATTTAAGAATAATAGGAAAATCTATAGGTTATTTTTGAGAGTATTTACCAACTCTACCTTAAAAACATAAATAGCCACAAAAAGAAAATTAAAAAACTCAGCCATGAGTTTTTGCCAGCAGGGAAGAAAGAAATATGTGCCAGTAAACTCTTACTTATGTTTTATGTTTTTCCTCCAGTTTTAGTATTTCTACACCTCATGAAGTAGACAGCAAAGTTCCTCCAAGTTTTCACCAGAAGAAATATTGGGAGCTAGTGGCAGTTTCATGAAATCAAAGGAAGACATATTTATGGGCCAGGTGATCTGGGGGAAATCACCTAACCTCCCTCTCCTCAATTCTCCAGCTGGAAATAGAACTATTAATATTTGCCCTGGCTCCCAACAACCATGTTCTGAGGATCAAATATGATGTGAATACACTCCATAAACGTAAACTTTAGAAATTATGATTTCATTAGTAAAGTTTCTTTTAGAAAAAAAGTACACCAGAAAAAATCCAACACTGTTTTAACATCAACTTTTCTTCAATTATTTTGATTACTTTCTAGGGCTAGGACTTCAAGTTTATATGAGAGTACCTCTTGTGTACATTTAAACTAGAGCTGAAGATCACTTCAGCATGAGTCAGCCTCACTATTCACAGGCATTTAACAGGAAGGGAAACAGTTTCTAAACTAACTTTTCTGTAGGTCCTGGAAAATAGTCACAACAGGGCAAAAGCGGTTACTCTGTGTTATTCAGAGCATAAATTATATACTCTAAAATATAATTAGCACTTGTATCTCTAACAGATAGCTACACTTTCTGGTTATGTATCTATCAAATTTTCATTTTAATAATGATGACTCATAATGAAATTATGCATTCATCATTCCATTCATTAAACCATTTAACTTGCAGGCTCTGCACTAAACTGCAAATTCTCTGCATACGTGATCACATCACTCTTGCTCAGGCTATGGTTCTCAATCTAATATTTGTTAACACACACCAATTCTTTCCAGAACAAGTTTTCTTAAGTGCATTCAGAGAGCAGATGCTTTTGAAAATGTTATCAAGTTACAGACGCACAGAGTACTCTTGCTGAATGTGTTTGGTAATATAGCTCTGAAATACCACTTCAGTTCCTGCCGTCTGCTGGCCCAAACTTTGTTCTCAAGGGAACCATCCAAAAAAGCAATGCTAAGAGTTACTAAATTCAATCCTCAGATCAGCTGTTTGCAAAATGGTAGAGCAGGCTTATAAAACAAATTCAGCATAGGTTTCTCTCTTGTTAAAGAAGGATAAGCTCCAAACCCATTTTATTCTGAAACTTCATTGTAGGGATGGAACTTAAGCAGTAGTTTTTGGAATGTGTTCCAGAAAGCAAAACAAAAACAAGAAAGAAATTCTAACTGTGATGATTCAACAGGAGAAAGTCTTCTCTCTCTTTTCCACCTGCCTCTCTCTTTTTCCCATTTGTTCCTACTGTTCTTCCTCTTCTTTCTTTTCCCCTCATTCTTCCTCCTTTATTGTTCATCTCCCTATTTCCTCCTGCTGAGTATTAACTAATATTTATTTTGGTATTTCTGTTTACAAAGAGCTTTACTCCTACCTCATGATGTATGTTGTCTCACTTCGCGACACTCTTAACAACAACAGTCGTTCTAATCATTCCATTTTATGAGAGGCTCAAACAAGCTAACAGATCTAAGTTTCAAAATAAGCTTTCCTCATTCCAAAGCCGATGCTCTTGTCCAACACTATGCTCCCTCAAGAAATTCTTTCCTTCTTCCCTAGTAGATCTCTTTTCTATTTTCCTCTTATTTCCCTGCCTTCAGCTCCCTTCCTCATTTCCTGCTCCTCCTCCATTACCTCAACAGAAAATCATCCACCCTACTCTTCTCTGAACATTGCCCCTTCCAGCATCCTCCTTCAGTCTCAGAATCCAGATGACCTACTTCCTTTGCTCCTCCAGGGACAGAGATTTCCTAAAGTATAGCATCACTAAGCATCCCTACCCAAGTCCCACCCAATTACCTACCCAATCCCAATCCCAAGATCAACATCATCTGTTTATCTCTTACCTCTTAATGGTTGTTTCCTGAATTAATAACATGTAGAATTGGACAGAAGCATCCAACTAAAGTGTTTTCTGAATGTTTCTCTCTCTGTCTCTCTTCCCCTCCCTCCCTGTGTGTGTATATGTATCATATATTATATGTATATATGACTATCTGGTGGCACAATGCCTAAGGCATTTGACTGTTAAGCAGAAGGTTGGAGGTTCAAACCCACCAGCTGCTCCATGGAAGGAAGATGAGGCAGAAACTTCTGTAAAGATTTACCACCTTGGAAAACCAATGGGGATTGCTATGAAGCAGAATTGACAGTGGACTTGGTTTGGGGTTCATATTTATATATAACTTTTAATAACAGTTAAGATATCCTTTATTTCTTATATTTAAAAATTATGTGGGGTATACAATTTATAATATTACTCTCCTATCATTTTTTAAAGAAAATATTCATAAATTATTTTCCCCTGAAATATTCCTTCCTCGATTTCAAATTTTTAGATACTACACTTGCCTATATAAAACAGATTTCTACAAAATTTTGAAGAATTATTACCTAACAATTTTCAGCCCAATTTTAGAATTTGTGTGCTCACACTTCAGTGATGTCAATTACTCCAAGTACCAACTGTGAGACTAAAGAACTAAAGACAATAAGTTTGTATTCCCCAGATTCCTTACAACTGTAAAATTTTAATTACTCTGGTAAGAAATAGTTTACTCTTGGCTGGTCATGAGGTGAGTGAAAGGTCTTAGACATACACTTGGCATAAAAATTGTTTTTTTTTTCCATTTGGAAAAATGAAAATTTGAAAAATACTGCTTCAAAATATGTTTTTTTGAAATTTGAATTACAGTATTTTCTGATTTTTATTTTTCTGTAGGGAAATCACTATAAAATTTGAATTCAGAGTAGCTTATGGTTATAGGTTCTGAAATGTGGAATTTTTTATTAAATCATATTTTATTCTTCAGAAGAGATTGAGACCAGTCAAGTAAAGCCTAACATCAATCAGGGGCATATTCAAGCAGCAACCAAGAGTTTAAAAAAGAAGAGGGAAAAAAACTTTCTTGTATCAGACCTGAACAATTCAGATATTCAGTTCTTGCAAATTGTAACATAATGGATGCTGTGATCATTATAGCATTTCTAGGTAACAAAACTACCAGTAATTAGATAATAATGATTTATAATCAAGGAACTCTGGTGGTGCGGTGATTAAAGCACTCAGCTGCTAATCAACAGAAATTACTAACCCACCAATTGCTCTGCAACAGAAAGATGAGGCAGTCTGCTTTTGTAAAGGTTTGTTGTTGTTGTTGTTATGTGCCCTCGAGTGGGACCAACTCACCTCCTTGGATTTCCAAGGTGGTATCACTGCGGAAGTAGATTGCCCAACCTTCCTTCCCAGGAGTGGCTGGTGGGTTTGAACTGCCAGCCTTCTGGTTAGCAGTCAAGTGCCTGAGGCACTATGGTACCAGAAAGTCTAAGGGGGAATTCTGCTCTGTCCTATAGGCTCACCACTATGAGTCAGTCTGTTCGATGGCAATGGTTTTTCGGGGCTTGATTTATAATCACTCCTGAATTTGAGGGTTTTCTTTATGTTGTTGTTGTTGTTACGTGCCGTTGAGTTGTCTCCAACTCATAGCGACCTTCCTTGGGTTTCCGAGGCAGTATCATTACGGAAGTAGATTGCCCCATCTTCCTTCCAAGGAGTGGCTGGTGGGTTTGAATCACCGACATTCTGGTTAGCAGTCAAGTGCCTTAGGCTTTTTCCTCAGTTACTCCTCATTTTCAATTCTATAGGCCAGTATAACACATTTCCATCTATGTTACATCTGCTGCCCTTCCTATGCCCCACCTCTGGAGCAGGCTACTCAGTTTCCACAGTAACTACTACATAACTATTGCTTTTAGGGTAGCAGAAGAGGGATTTGCAAAGGACAAAAGATTGAGTGATACAAACTAATTATCAAAATAAAGCTGAGTAGTTGGAGCACAAAACTATTTTGGTATGAGCTACCGAGAACTTTTTCTTCTTCTTCTTCTTCTTGTTCTTCACTACTTACAACTTTTCAGAGTAGCATTTCCAGCCAAGTAATACCCTCATCTCTGAATCATGTTAAGAAATCCTTCCTCCATCTTCCCTGATCATGCCTGTCAAAAGTGAATCAAGGTAGTGGACACACTCCCGTCCCTTCCGACTACCATTCATTCCTTCCATTTTGCCAATTAGTGCATGGCATGTGGTAGCTTGCACAAAACTTTGTAAATCAGCATGCAATAATTACTTACTGTGACGTTTATCCAGTCAATCCATTTCTTATTTAATTTAGAACTTTGATTTGAGAATTTGTATAAATGTATACTGTAAGCCTTATCTTAGGAGATGGTGAGAACTCTTCCGGTGTAGCTTGATTCTGCTACCTAACTCCATAGAACATTTATTTCTATAACTAGAAAGAGCAGAAGTCCCTCTCCGGGAATGAGAGAATTGCTTGGGGAATCCCAGAGTTGTTTATTCCCAATTTCACTCTTCATGTAGAAATACCTATTTGCAAGAGGAGTTCTTTCTCCTGTAGTTAAAGAGGATTTGGAAATCTGACCTACTAGGCTGGAGGGTGTCAGTCTGTAAGGAAGTCTGAACCCTCTCTCCCTTTTTAATAGGAGAATTCAAAAGCAGTGGGGAAGAGATGGTGGACCTATCACAGCATTGGTAACAGACAGCCTATTACAGTATTTAATAAAAACAGAAACAGCATGCTTATCATAGGCTAATAAATCCTACCTTCTGCACGCTTTGAAAACAGTGTGAAGCAGCTTTAACGGAGCTCCCGATAACTAATTTCAAGCATGGCTGTCTAGCGTGCCTGTCACTCCTATTGTCCTTCCAAACTCTTTCAGACATTTTGAGGAGGGAGTATTAAAGCTATGAGTTAGCAAGGGTTGTGACATTAATGGTCCAAAAAGGCTTTAGGCACGAGAGGTAACGATGATTACCGGTGGCTATTTGGAGGACTACACTGGATCTCTGTCATTAAAAATTAAGCGTGGCTTTTGAGGAAGATGTGACAACTACCAGAGGTAGGATTTGCATGTAAAACAAAGGAATCTGTTGCTGTTTCGTGCTTTTTGTTTGCTCCGGTGCCATTTGGGTCCTGAATTACACCAGGTGCGGAGTGAGAAGCAAGAAGGGGAGAGAGGGGAGTGGGCGACGGTTCTGCTTAGAGTACAACACAGTGGATGGTATTATTATGTTTTATGGCAAAAATGCCTCGAGGACAAACTGGCTCGGGCTCGGTGCCTGCTGAGTGTGCATTCCACGTTGCTTTTCCCGTGGAGTAGAATGCTTAGAGGTCATGAAGAAAACAGTTTGTTTCTTGTCTGTGGTGCCAGCTGGACTGTGGGCTGTTGGTAGGGAGGAGTGAGGACTTTGGTGGTGGGAGGCATTAGGGTCCAAGAAAAATAAAGAGGAAGCTATTCTTAAGACTTGAAACCTGTTAGATAAATATTTATTCCCAAGATCATTGTGCTTTGATAACCTGAGTCTTATTTTTAAAACTGAAATTTGGGGGAGCGGGATCACTGATTTCCCTGATAAAGAACTATTTTGGATTTAATTTGTTATAAAAGAAATTTGGTCCCTCATCCATTTTGCATATTGGAAAGGCTGATCCACCTTGTATTAATGGTTTTGCTAAAGCAGAGCAAGAGTTTTAGACTGAAAGAAGGAATTTCTCTCTGTTTCTTTTCTTGCTTTCAAACTACTGCCGGGGCTGCAGATGGATATGGTGATTCGTTAGAGGTTATGGAGGTTATGGACTTGACGCTTTACCTTTTTTTTTTTTTTTTTTCCCTTTAATGAACAGCATAAAAGCACAATTTTCCTTGGGAGATGAGAAGGACTGTTGGGTTCCCAAGTCCAGTGAATAACGAACGGATTTGCAAAGGAACTTGTACTGCTTTGTACTTTATTACGGAATCTGTAGCACTCCATCAGAAAAGGAAATGTCAGGAAATGACAGGCTGAGATGTTTAAAGCAAAAATGCAATGATCAGAAGCCAGTTTTTCCCAACTTGATCTATGGAGCAAATTTCTGTATTTGTCATTGCATTTGACCCTCAATGTGAAGTGTCAGAAAGAGAGTGAGTTGCTCAGTGCTGTTGCGTTGTTTCTGTGATTGACTTCTTAACTCCAAGATGTAGAGATTGTAGAGATGTTACTTTATATTTTGATAAACTCTATATTCTGATGTATTGACTTGGTTTTAGCATATAGCAAAGATAGATTAAATAATTGTGTTTTTAAAGGAATATGATGTTCTTCAAAGGCTTCTAAAACTTCCGTATTGATGTAATATTAACTAGGAATTAAAGACAATTATAGTACATTTGTTTTCAGCTAAATACTTAAATTAAGGCAAAGTGGGGCTTTTGCACTTCTCTGATGCAGTTAAGTATGCACCTTTGTGAGCTTCTGTGTATATACTGCCATTCACATACAAAGTTGAAATCATTACCCTACAGTGGGTAGCAATTGTACTTAAAGTTGTGTGTCTGCTTTCTTAATAGTTTGATGGACATTACTGAGCCATCTGAACTATCTTGACTGGTGTTTATGTGACCACAGGTACATATCCATAAGATGACTATGTGGGGCATCTGGTGCAATTGATGGCTCTGACAGAGTTTTGTACTTGTATGTGGCCAGTGAAATGTGTGACCTTGACCTTGTACAGTCCAAATCTCTAGGCAACTGAGTTCTCCATTCGAGAATTAATATAGAGAAAGTCAGAACTTGAAATACACAAACAGAAGTACACACACAATTTACTCACTGTTGTTGGAAGCTCACAACTGAATATTACTTCTATGAGTTTTGTTAATTTCTTTTATTGTAAAATAGTTTTCACTGTCTCTGATCTTACCTATCTTTAGAATCTACCTAACGGGAGTAATTTTTAGCAGCAATTCATGCCATAAAAGTTGTCAACAGTAGAAATTATTTTTCTGTAGTAATATGCATAACATTTTACTGATAAACATAATTTTCACAGATTTATGAAAATATTCTCTTATTATATGTGTATAAACTCTACTCCCCAACATGAAAAATATAAGGCAAATGTGATCATTTTTGTCTTTGTAAGCTGTGGAGTAAACCAGACCAAGTAATTTAGTCAAAACAATCTACTTTGTGTCACACATTAATTTAATTGTCTGTTCACATTGGTAGATATAAACCAAAACATTTCCCGATATCCTTCTCTTTTACTTTCTACCACCTTTAGTAATGAAAAACCGACAATTCTCTAGCTATATAGAAAGAAAAAGACTGGAATCCACCCTGATACAAAAAATAAGCAAAGCTTTAGTCATTCTTGTTTTCTCAGTCCCCATGGGTAGCACAGCCATCATATTAGTCACCAAGACACTTAGCATCCAGAGTTGTCCTTGTTCTCTGTCTCTCACGTATACACACACAGTCAACAATCTATTTTATTGGGAGATATTGAACCAGACATTTCTCAAACCAACACAATCTTCTCTTTGATCATCTCCTTTCTCTCATCAAAATATAATGAAAAATTCATCTTCCATGCTATTAAATCAAATCAAAAAGCAGTCTATAATAATGTACATAATATATTTCTAATTTCGTCAATATATTTGGGGGGAGGGAAAAAAAAACAAAAAAAAGAAAAGGAGCAGCAGAATGATAGCAGTGGTTACCTCAGTGTGGAACAAGTGGTGCATTTTATTCTCTTTGTTCATCATATCCAGAATTTAATTTTTATTTATTTAATTTTATTCAATTATTATTTTCACTGCTATTGTTCTGGGTCAAATTCCCACCAATTCTCACCTAAATTATGCCAATATGGTCTCTTGATTCTGCCACTCCCTGCCCACATACACGCATTCTATTTTGCAACCGACACCAGTGGTCATTTGGAAATAGATGTTAAATCACAATATCCTCTGCTCAAAAGCCTCCAATGTACGCCGTAAAAGCCAAATCCTCGCAATGATTCTCAAGGCCACTATGCGCCCCTCACTCTCTGAGTACTCTGAAATCTTCTACTACAACCCCTTTCTCAGTCCATATCAACTACACTGGCCTTCTGGCTGTTCCTTAGACCTACACACATTGTTACATGTCAGGGTGTTTACTTTTTCTGTGCCCCCTGCCTGTAAAACTCTTCCCTCAGAGACACAAATTATTCAGTACCTTACTTCCTTCATGTCTCTGCCCAAATATCACTTTATCAGAGAAGACTTCCCAGAAACCTGTCTTTCAAATCATCCAGTGCACACTTTCTGTGATCAGTCCCTGCTTTCTTCTCTCCTCATAGCATACCACATCCCCCAACACATTTTATGTTCCATTTTTATTGCATGTCCTTTTTCTGCCAGAATGTAAACTTTATGTGAACAAGGGGTTTGTATTGCTTCCTAATGCATCTGCACCACCCAGAAAAGGGCCTGTGAGGTAATAGGTGCTCAATACCTGTTAAATGAATGAAGAGATCGTTGAAGACAGGAAATAAAAGTTTTCGATAAAGGAATGTGAATAGATTTGAATCAAAATCTGTCAGTAACATTTTGACCTTCAGGGTCAGAGGTCTGTGTTAGAACACCCTGTTGACCTTTCTAACAAGAAAGACACTGATACCTTCAAGAAAGTCAAGGAATTTATCAGGATGATTTTCTTTCTCTTTTCTATATAAAGATGAAAAAAATCACATCAGTAATTCCAGTCTATGTCAAAGAAATAAAAATTCAATTTGGCCGATTTGATCTTATCCAAAAGATGTCTTCTACTTCAAAAAGGACACTTTGACAGGTTTCCTATACAAATGATTATTAAGGTAGACTTTGTCCTATATTTTCTCTGATCTACCTGGATAAGTATATCATGCTTGGTAAAGTGGAAGAACAGTGAAAAAGAGGAAGACCCTCAATGAGATGGATTGACAGAGTGGCTGCAACTATGGGCTCAGGTATAGCAAGGATCGTGAGGCTGGTGCAGGACCGGGCAGTGTTTCGTTCTGTTGTACCTAGAGTCTGTATGAGTTGGAGCTGACTCAATGGCACCTAACAACAACAACTTGAGTGAAGACTTCTAGAAGGGATGATGAGACCAGGATGGATGTAGTATTGGGGTCAATATCGTATTCTGGGCATACAAGCCCTAGTAGCCCATATGGCAATAGGCATGAATGCACAATAATCCGTAATTGTACTATTTATTTGCATTCTTTCAAAATCGGCATAGACAGACTCACGGTCTACTTATCAGTGGCCATTTCACAGTCATAAAATGTATGTTTCAAACAATTAAAGTATAAAGAAATAATATAATATTAAAATAATAATATTATTTACACCCAATAACACCTACTATTTATTGTAAATTATAACACCCAATATTTCTAGAGTGTTTTGCAGTCTAGGAAGTGTGATATGCGAAGGACCTTGTTTGAATTCCACCATCTCTACTTTATACCTATGTGACCTTAAGCAAATTGGTTTTGTTTATTTGTTTCATTTTGTACTTTTAATCTCACCAAGACTCCATTTCCTCATCAGAAATTGGTGATAATAATACTTATCTAATATTTAAGTAGGGAGCTCTGGTAGCATAATGCCTAAGGCACTTGATTGCTAACCAGAAGGCTGGCGGTTCAAACCCACCAGCTGCTCCTCTGAAGGAAGATTCACTTCTGTAGTGATACCACCTCGGAAACCCAAGGAGGGGTCGCTATGAGTCAGGTACAACTCGATGGCACATAACAACAATGACAATACTTAAGTGTAATAATGGATGTGAGGGCCCTAGCAGAATGCCTGACACACAGAGATGCTTAAAAAATAATAGCAGCTTTTTCTTGTTAGT